TGTGTTCTTGTTTCCCTTCAGTCTTCCAGTCACACAGACTTTGGTCTGATTTCTGACTTTCTAGTTGCGTGACCTTGGGAACATGACATAATAACATCAACAATGTATTGGCTATTTGCTATGTGCTAGCCACTGTGCTAAGTGCTTAGCATGCGCTGTCTCATTAAATTAAATTAAATCTTCATAAAAACCCAGACAAGAGCTAATATTATTCAGATTTTAGAGCGTGTGGGACACTGACTGAGAGGGGATAAGAAGTAATAACCTTTCCAAGGTCAAAGAGCCAGGGAGGGAACAGCGGTGGCTCATACTGAGTGGGGGAGAGGTTGAGGCAGAGGCATCCTGTGGGCACTCTGCCATGAGGTGGTTTAGGACTGAACTTGGGAACTAGCACCCACTGCCAGTGGTGACAGCTAATAAGAACCCTGAGGGTGAACACTGGAGACGTACATCCTGGGTTCGAATCCCGGTGTCTAGCTGTGATATCCTGGGTAGGTTACTTAACTTCTCTTGGCCTCAGTTTCTTCGTTTGGTAAACATAAATTAATAACACTATATACCTCAAGGTGTTCCTGTGAAGAATAAGTGAGGCTTTACCAGAACTGGAGGCAGTAGGTAATCAATAAATTATAATAAATTACAGAGATCATTTTAATTTTGAATAATTCTGATTCAGCAAGCTTTTATTTCCATATGATGAAATGAATGAGCAAGAATAGCTTATTTTTGAAGTGTAAAACTCCTCTAAAGAATCAGAAATGTCAGGATCTGGGTGCATCCCTAGATCTGTCCTCCCTTTTAGTTGTTCGGACCAAGTGCAGAGCTGATCTTTTCTTTAAATATTTGTATTGATTTCAGAGAGGAAGGAGAGGGAGAGAGAGAGAAACATCAATGATGAGAGAGAATCACTGATTGGCTGCCTCCTGCATGCCCCCTACTTGGGATCTTGAGCCTGCAATCCGGGCATGTTCCCTGACCGGGAATCGAACCATGACCTCCTGGTTCGTAAGTAGATGCTCAACCACTGAGCCACGTGGACCAAGCAGATCTGCTCTTTTATTTCTTTCCTACATGGATATGTCTAACAAGGCTGGTAACTCTGATTTATTTGTTACAACAAAGGAAATGTATCATGAAGCCTGACATCTGACATTTCTCAGTATCTAGTATGAATATCTTGCTCACGGCCCACCAGCCAGGACGGCTCTCATTCTCTCTAAGAAGGGACACAATAAACGAGAATTATCAACAATGTATTGGCTATTTGCTATGTGCTAGCCACTGTGCTAAGTGCTTAGCATGCGCTGTCTCATTAAATTAAATTAAATCTTCATAAAAACCCAGACAAGAGCTAATATTATTCAGATTTTAGAGCGTGTGGGACACTGACTGAGAGGGGATAAGAAGTAATAACCTTTCCAAGGTCAAAGAGCCAGGGAGGGAACAGCGGTGGCTCATACTGAGTGGGGGAGAGGTTGAGGCAGAGGCATCCTGTGGGCACTCTGCCATGAGGTGGTTTAGGACTGAACTTGGGAACTAGCACCCACTGCCAGTGGTGACAGCTAATAAGAACCCTGAGGGTGAACACTGGAGACGTACATCCTGGGTTCGAATCCCGGTGTCTAGCTGTGATATCCTGGGTAGGTTACTTAACTTCTCTTGGCCTCAGTTTCTTCGTTTGGTAAACATAAATTAATAACACTATATACCTCAAGGTGTTCCTGTGAAGAATAAGTGAGGCTTTACCAGAACTGGAGGCAGTAGGTAATCAATAAATTATAATAAATTACAGAGATCATTTTAATTTTGAATAATTCTGATTCAGCAAGCTTTTATTTCCATATGATGAAATGAATGAGCAAGAATAGCTTATTTTTGAAGTGTAAAACTCCTCTAAAGAATCAGAAATGTCAGGATCTGGGTGCATCCCTAGATCTGTCCTCCCTTTTAGTTGTTCGGACCAAGTGCAGAGCTGATCTTTTCTTTAAATATTTGTATTGATTTCAGAGAGGAAGGAGAGGGAGAGAGAGAGAAACATCAATGATGAGAGAGAATCACTGATTGGCTGCCTCCTGCATGCCCCCTACTTGGGATCTTGAGCCTGCAATCCGGGCATGTTCCCTGACCGGGAATCGAACCATGACCTCCTGGTTCATAAGTAGATGCTCAACACTGAGCCACATGGGCCAAGCAGATCTGCTCTTTTATTTCTTTCCTACGTGGATATGTCTAACAAGGCTGGTAACTTTGATTTATTTGTTACAACAAAGGAAATGTATCATAAAAGCCTGACATCTGACATTTCTCAGTATCTAGTATGAATATCTTGCTCACAGCCCACCAGCCAGGACGGCTCTCATTCTCTCTAAGAAGGGACACAATAAACGAGAATTCAGAGGCCTGAGTCTCATGAGCTGAGTGATGACAGAATACTCAGGGTCATAATGATTGGGGCGAAGACCTGATTTGGAGAACCAGCAGAAGATTTTTAAGATTTTCCATGAACAAGTGCTTCTTTTTTTTTTTTCTGAAATAAGTGTTATAAATATATCAAAAGTACTTCAACTATTTTTCAAATTAAATTTCCTAAAAAGAGAATCCATTCTTAGTTTCACACCTAGTTTGTTCTTAGGTCCATCTTGGGGCTTGAGTCCATCCTGAACATCCTGTAAGGGAACTGGGTCATTACAATGTTATCTCCCAAGGAATCAGAAGGAAGGAGTCCGTACAAGGTCCTATTTAATGATGGTAGGTATTCAGTAAAGTCAGGGAAAACCTGAGTTTGAAGCAATATTGCTAAGTCAGGGACCAGAAAGCAATTCATTAATAAATATGTCAAATAATTTCATGTAAATATAATCTACATTCTTTCCACTTTTAGGATAGCACAAGTAAACGGATATCTATAAAGAGGCGAGCTAATGAATTTTTCATGTTTGGAAACAGTGGAAGAAGTCAATTAAAAATTTCTGCTTAGAAACAGAAAATAAACTGCCTATATTTGCACACTGGTCTAATCTTTCAATTCTAAGAATTTAATATTTCAGATAATTGCCCAATTTACAGGATCATAAACTGAAATGAATGGCATGCCAGAAGTTCTATCCTCCCTTCAAACAAAAACATTTTAATGGCTCTTCTACAGTACTTTTCAAAATCTGACTGTAATAAAAGCTACACTAAACAAGACAAATAAAAAATTCTAAAGGCCTCAATCAGGCCACAATGCACCATAAGTCCACATTTACCAGCCATGCTTAGGCATATTTCATACTGAGGAAAATCTCTTTAATTCCCTGAATCCATCCATTGCTCTGCAGACATTGGCAAGGGGGCCCCTCAAATGTATTGCAATGTCAATAAATAGCACTGCATAGAGGCAAGGGCACTGGATTAGAACTCAGAGACTTAGATTCTGGCCTTAGCCCTGTGCTTCAGAAATTGTGAATTATCAGTCCCCTATTTCTAAGATCTTTATGGCACAACGATTTTTTGAAATCATGTACCTTTTTCTGCATGCCCCCAAAAGTAATCACTAAAACTCTAAATTTGACTGTATTGTGCCCTGCTTTTGTGAAGTTACTTTACTGATAAAATATTAAATACAATTAACGCCACATTCACTATGTTCCATTAAAAATATTTTGAAGTTAGAGTTTTAAAGTAATTTTATAAATGTCCATAAGTTCAATCTATCACTTTATCTTAATATTTAGTTAAATAATTCAAAATTATATGTGTGTATACATATGTATAAGAATAATAGGTAAATAAAAAAGGAAAAATGCATTCCATAGGCCGACTTGAGAATAATGCAAACCCCTTAAGACTGTACCATATACATCTTTAAAAACTGCAAATTCATTACCAATATTAAGAATCAAAGCATCAAAATTTCCCTTTTCTATTTTTACATATGAAATCTACTACCCAATGTATTGCACTAGAAAGACTTCAAAACATTCCATTTCCTTATACTTTGAAGTCTAGAGGGAATAAAACTTAATTATTTTAAAGTGCAAATAAAACACTTTGTTGAACACTTTTAGTTTTAAAAATAAGCATCCGAAATAAGCACTACCGAAGACAAATCTTATTTTTCCCTTTGTAAAGCTATTAGTCAACGTTCTTCTTTTTCATCTTTAAAACCTGGGTTACATTTTTACTTATTGAAGGGAAAGAGTTTCAGTGTGACAGTAGCTAATCTCCTTGATTCCAGCTATAGGGAATCAATGACAAGATTAAGTCCATTGAAAGCAAAGGGGGGAAAAGAAGACATGATTGGATAGTAAGGTCACCAAAGATCTCATTTCAGAATCGGTGTCTTAATATCATTTTGCAGATTACCGCCCATGAATGGAGGCTGGGCAAAGAACAAAGGGTTATTGATAAATAAGTGTTGCCACAAAACCTAAAATGCTGAAGAAGTGGTTTGTGATGTTCACTCTCAGAAGCTACTGATCTCTCTTCTACCAATTATTACACGCAAACACCCCACATATGTCCTTCATCCAGGTTAGGTATACCCATATGAAGTTATTTTTCCCCCAAAAAAATAGGTGCAGAGAATACTTTTTTAAAAATAAACTGAAAGTAAGGCCCTAAAAGAAGAGACTGCTACATTTAGAATGCTAAGCTGTAATTTTTGACAAAGGACAATAATGCGCCCTAGCTCTACCAAGATCCGAGCTGCTCTTCCTACTCCTTTTGAATTAATTATGGGTTTAGGAATTTGAGTTTAAGAATTTGGGGATATAATCATCGAATGTTTTTGGTTTGAAACATGAACAAGGAGATGAACAGAACACAGGCTTTGAAAAATAAACCGTTTCTACTTTATGTTTCACAGTTTTAACTCTCCATAGGATTTCCCTTGCTAGCTATACAATGCAGATGGTGAAGGAGAGAAAAAAATGCTTCATAGAATCCAGTGCTATTCAGTCTACATGAACCCCACATTTTATCTTCTCAACAGCTCCCTAGAGAAATCAGAATCTTACCTTCTCACATCTTCTGCAGAGGCCTCTTGGTGCTTTGAAAACTCCTGAGGTCTATGTCAAACGGCCATTGTCTCGCTCCCAGGGTCTTAGGGGCTTGGAGAAATCCCAACACCTGCTGCTACCACTGAGCGTCGAGGCCAGGAAAGCTCCAGGGTTTGCCAGCGGGATCACTGAGCCACAGCCAAAGCTTGGGAAGCCTTAACAACTGAAAGCAAGTGTAGAAGGCAACGTGGTACCCAGCACTGGGCTCAATTGTAGCAGCAGGGGGAGGAATGTTCCGGCCCTCACAAGGTTTTAGAGGCAGCCATCAGGGGACCCAAGGCTCTGTGGATGGACAGGGCCAAGGAAGTGGAGACAGGGCCACACAGCAGGAGACCCTAGGGGGAGGGGAACAACTAGCGCAGAGCTCAGGTAGCGCTTGAAAAGAATCACCAAAAATCCCCCGACAGAACACAAGAAGCGATGGCGAAATGCAACAAAATACATGGAGATAGGCCATTCTAGCATCCCATATGACAGCCAAAAACACAGTGGAGGGGGGACATGGAGCTCTAGCTCTAGAAAGAAAAGTAAGGAAGACATATTATAGTAGGCCTACTGCAGTTGAGGTTAAATATCTAACACATTTCAAAAAAATTCCTAAATCCTGCCATCATAACATTTACATCATGATAAGGACATGTACGACTATTAAATGTCAAAGGGTGCAATCTACAAGGAAACAGAGATTAAAGGCAAAGGTGTGAGTTATCCAAGGAGAAAATGAAAAGACAGAGGGAAGGTTACATGGAGAAGGAATCAAAATCACTTTTTAAATAAGCACAGCACATTTTACCAGGTACATTATGTTCCGTGATGATCAGATGAGGAATACTGAAGGAATTCAGTGAGATAAGAGAAGGAGAATATGGAGAAAAAGGAGCAAGTGGATACAGAGTGTTCACAGATGAAAAGGGGAGAGGTAGGAGAAAAGGGGGAAAGGAAAGAGGAGGAAGAAAGGAAGGTGTGATTAACTTAGTAGATTGCAGTGCATTGTCAAATTTGTCAAATAAACTACTCGCTAAGAATCCCCTGAATCTCGACTTCATGTTATATTTTCCAAGGAGATGCTTATAGCTTGCTAACCTCTACTCACAGCTCTTCAACTGCTCAAAAGCCCCCAAGAACGCCTCTTCAGGAGCCCACTGCATATTAAATATTAAACAGCTACAAGAGACAGACCCTAGGACAATTTTGCTTTAATGAGCTGGATAAAAATCAAGTCAGGAATTAAATCTAAACCCTGACAGAACTTTAGTAACCCCTAATATGTATCAAAATAAAAACAATCAGACTCACTTAGAAATTGTCACTTTTTCAAGACCAGAAGCAAATTAACCAGTACGGTATACGTGTTTTATAATTAAATAAGAAGAAACTCTACTGCCTGATGGTAGTTATGCCCATGTCATTCTTGAGCTCAAGTATTTACTTACATTTTTGTAACCCAAGTTAACTAAAATAGGGATAATGTATTTCACTTGATTTCAAATAGCTCAAATAACCTTGTGTCTCACCTCAGATATATATAGTTATGTTCTCTTAAATGTAATGCTATTACATGTACAATAAAAGTAGCTTTTGCTTAGGCAAATTCAATTATGTCCAGTAAGTAACTAAGTCAAACATTTTTATAAAATAACCCTTATTCTACAAAATAGTTGGTATTGACTAGGCAACTAGTATTTTAAATATGAGAGAACTGAGTTTTTATAAAGGAAGAAGATGAGGAAACTGAATGTCCCTCTAAAAATACTTTCATTGTATAAACAGTGCCTAAGTTTAGATAGTGATTTCAACTAACTTAATTTTTTAAAACATATCTTGTCAATAGGATAGGTTTAGATAAGAAAATATTCAGAGAATCCCTATGGTAAAAACCAAATGGAAGTGGATTTTTTAAAACATAACAGTCTGACTTTAAGTATTAAAAATCAATTACAGTTTGTTTTTCTGACCCACGTTCTCAATCCCACTCATAAAAACCAGTTTCAACAATATAACTTTTCTTAAATGTGCAAGAAAAAACAAGGAAGTAAATACACACTGCCAACGTGAAATGGCAGGGTCCATTTATAAGGCTCTTCAGATTAGATGGTATGTCAGGATTATTATCCATGGAATTAGAAAAATTGGCAATAGCTTTTTAAAGATAAATATTGTATTGCTACTACAGTGTCTTACTAAAGTAATAAGATAAGACCATCTAAACCAGTGGTTCCCTGTTGCTAAGCATCACAAAAGGATAAATTTTTGATAAATGTGTTCAGTTGCATCCCTACACCTAGCCTGGCAGCACAGTAGGTGTCCAATGAATATTAATTGGCTGAATGGTGGTGCCACATGTGAGAAGACACTCCTCAAAAAGATTGCATCGTAGGGGTAGGGGTGGAGGGGGGGTAGGTTATGGTCAAATAAATTTCTTAAAAATTAAAATAAAATTAAACAGGTGAATTCCTGCATGACTTGTCAGAGCCTTTATTATACTACTATAAATTCCTAAACTCTACCTTTTTTTATGAAATACCTATTCATCACAGATTAATTATTCTAGAAAGATTTGGTCTACACCTCTATGGCAAACTTAATATTTCTATATATTGCAATCTTTTAAAGAAAGACAGAGGTAAGCTACTAATTGGCCCAAATTCATGTCCATTAAAAATTATAAGGTGGAAGATATATATATATATATGTGTGTGTGTGTGTGTGTGTGTGTGTGTGTGTGTGTGTATTTCAAATATAGTAGGCTTTATTTAAAAAATGGCCTCTGCTTCGGGGAAAGAAAATTTGAGATTGAGAAAATTTCAGAGTGAGAAAACTTGAAATATCTCATTCAAATCATTCCCTTGGTCAATAAAGGATCTTGCTCCCGTAAAGTATTGTACTGGTGCATAAATATATTAGCAATAAAGTTTCTTTATTGTTAATGTCCCAGATACTCCTATGCAACTATCTGACTAATATGACAAATTTGCTTACAATTATCTTAAATTGAAAAGAATACTCCTGGCAAGAATTAAATTATGCATATTAAATAATATTTTTATTTATAATTCAACACTGTTGTGAAAAGGGAGGTTCTCATTTAGAATTGAAAGGAGGAATACTTGCTTTTATTACTAGTGGTCTTTTTTTTTTTAATTACTATGGCTCAAGTGAAAAACAAGAATACAGATCAAATAGTGACAGGAATTCCATGAGAAACTATGCTCCATATACTGAGGTATCTGACAAACTTCAGGATTTGTATCTTTTCAAGCAAATCCAGGAGGGCGGGGGGGGGGGGGGGTAAACTTTATGTATGGGACACATACAGGATCACATGTATTAGAACTAGGTTCCTCTCTAAGACAACGTTCTGAGGTTCAGAGTATGAGAGGCCATTTTCCCATGGATGCCATCTCAGTCCTTGAGAGAGCGAGCTTACCCAAAAGATACCAGTCAACTGGCTCCCCGTGTGCCTTGTTCACTCACCAGCATCCATTAGCCAACTCCATGCTTTATCTTCAATAGTGGTCATACGGCTTCTTCGTGCCATGGTGCCACGGTGCCATGAAAAGGATCCAGAAGGTTCCCCTTAAACAACATTTCCTGAGCGGCTGCTGCAGCACCGAGAGTAAAGGAGATGCCAGGTCAGCTACGTCTCCTTCCCAGCAACGTTAGCAGCAGCAGCAGCAGAAGCTGGAGCAGAACATGGAGACCCAGCTCCTGGCAGGATGCTAGCCAAGCACTCTGTTCCCTCTACAGCTAGACAGAGTTTACCTGTATGTTTGCGCCTTTCCGGCAGACTGTCAAAACAGGTGTTTTCCTGTGATCAGGCTCAGAATCTGCTCCCAAACAAGGTGAGAAATATAGAGTGACTGTGCAATGTGAAGGTTCTAATTCCAAGGCAAACAGGTTTACTTTATTATTAGGAAGGCTGGATGAATCCTTTTTAAATTTCCATTCACCCTTCCCACTCCTACTAAGCAAGCGGATTGCACTAAAATTTCCTGTTAATGAAAGAAAGGATGTTACCATATAAAATACATGGCCTCGTGCAATTTTGGTCATTTCTTTCCTAATGTTCTATCTGCCTTTCCTGGCATAGGATCATCTCTTGCAAACGCTCATGTTTTCATAATCTTTACAACGGTGCCAACAGATGGGGAAAAGTCAGGTCTTGTGATCCTATGTTACGGAAGAATCAACGACTTCTCTGCTTCTGTATTTTACTCCCATTTGGAGGTTACTGATGAGTTTGCTCTTCAATATAAGGAGTGGTTAGAATATGGCTGGACAACAGAGTTATGTAGGTAACGTCATTAACCAAGCATTCCCTTTACCTATCATTCAGAGATAAAATCCTATAGCTATAAAAAGTATCTAGATTTTTTTTTCATTTAAATAGCTCTGCAAAGGATATGTGAAAAAAAAACATATTATTTTCCTAATGAGTATTTACTTGAAGAGAAGAATTATAAGCTCTAAGATATGCGCTCTCTGCACAGTAGAGAATAACAACTCTAATTAGCAACATTGAAACCCTACACACAGAGATTCTGAGGATAATATTGTTTCTCTTGTATTAATGTTCACTTCATTATCAAAGCAATAAGAACAATAGCTAACCCACTGAATAGTCATAAAGGGCCAGGCACTGTGCTCCGTGTTTTACATGTGCTATCTCATTTAATCTTTTTTTTTTTGGTAAATATATTTTTATTGATTTCAGAGAAAAAGGGGGGGGGGGAAAGAGATAGGAACATCAATGATGAGAAAGAATCACTGATTGGCTGCCTCCTTGCACAAACCCAGGCATGTGCCCTGACTGGGAATCAAACCGTGACCTCCTAGTTCGTAGGTCAATGCTCACCCACTGAGCCAGGCCAAATCACAGATATTATCACTGCTGCAATTTGCAAATTAGGAAACTGAGGCTCAGTCAGGTTCCATCACATGTTTAAGGTCACCGAGCTCACCAGTGATTTGAAACCAGGGGGTCTGGTTCCAGAACTGAGGCTCTTAAAACGTTTCACTAAAACTGCAACATGCATTTTGGTTCACATTTCTTTGTGTATTTTAAGTTCCCCTTTAATACACAGACATTAGAAAATGTTTACATTTTATAATAAGTAATAAATATGGTCTTTAATGTGTGCCCCGAAATTCCGTAAGTCCTCCACATGTATTAATTTATTTCAGATTCACAACAATCCAACAAGGCAGACAGCCTCTGATTTAGGGGCACATCTAAGGGATCCAAGGCAGAGAGTGTCCGGTAAGCTGCCAGAGGTCAGACAACTACTAAGAAACAACTACTACGGAGCAAATGCAAGCCTCAGATCCAGGGAAGGCAGCCCCTGAGTTGTAGCTTTAAGTCTGTGCCTACTCTCTGCTGTCTTGGACGCTGATGGTGTTAGCCACATAGAGAGAGGGAATAAGGAATGTCAGGTCTGGCCAGGAACCTCGCAGGAGGAGGATCTGCTATTCTTTTAAAAAATGTAACATGCATAAAGTACATAAGCTTACATAATACACAATTCTACGTCCATTTCTCTTCACAATGCTCACCAATTTAAGGAGATTAACAAACGCTGTATGTGTCACTCAGATTTTTTAAAAGAGAAGGACAAATTCAATTTTCACTTCTGTTTCAAATGTATCCTATCTTCAGAGGTACTAGCAATAACCTTATTATCATCACAGTGTCGGTCATTCTGCTTTGGGGGATCACCTCTGCTGGAAGTCATACTTGTACCTTACTCCATCATTGGCAAATACATTTAATTATGTGCAGGGCCAATATAATAATTGTGAGCTTGGAGGAGGCTTCAGAAATCCAGGGATCGTCCCCTGAGATGGGGACTGAACCAACCCTGGACCAAGAGACTTCCTTGAATATTCAGCAGCTGAAACGACCGTCCTTGAATCTGCACGAAGCCCTCTGGGTCATCTCAGACAGCCCAGACCAAGAACCGAGTGTCCCAAATGTAAGCCTGAAAACCCAGTGAAGAATACCAAGACCAATCTATCTCTTTAATTTGGCAGCAAGCCTGCCTCTCTGGACTAATTTTCGTTAGCTTCAGCTTTTGTGGCTTTAACCAAATGTAAATTAAATTAGCACAAGAAACCATGAAAACTTCAGAAAGACGGTAATATAGTTACGGTGAAGGCATCTCGTCTCTGGTAGAATTTAGCCACAAGTAAGAAGAAATGCAGTCTTTTGATGGCATTTAGCAAGAAGAAATTTAGGTGTCCATGTGGCACAGTTTGAGGCGATGCATTAGAGTCTACTTACTCTCAATTTTTTTTTAAATCAAGTTTCCATAGAAGGAAGATGTCAATTCTTTGCCTATTTCTGGACAACTATCCTCCCTGCAGAATTCTAGAGCAGTGCTATCAGACATTGTACCCACAACAGACTGACTTTCTCTTTGGCTGACAATAAGATTTATTTGTCTTCAATGTTAACACTGAATTAACACAAAAGTTATTCTAAACACATTTGACATCTTTTGGGTGAGCAAAACAAAGTGACCCCCATAGGCTATTACATAAGACAATCGTAACAAATGATTTTTATGGCCTTGGCAATACTAAGTGATACACTGGGAAGATCATGACTCATGCTAAACTTGCCTAGTACAGTAACAATTCTTATTTCTTGCTGATGTTTATGTTAATGGTGGTGCAATTAAAAACACAGAAAAATAGCTGGCCGGTGTTGCTCAGTGGTTAGAATGTTGGCCCATGCATGGAAGGGTCTAAGGGTTCAGTTCCTGGTCAAGGGCGCGTACCTAGGTTGCAGGCTAGATTCTCCACTCTGGTCAGGGCTCTTGCGGGAAGCAACCAATGAATGTGTCTTTCTCACATGGATGTCTCTCTCTCCCTCTCTCTCTCTCTCTCTCTCTCTCTCTCTCTCTCTCAAAAGTCAATGGAAGAAATATCGTCAGGTATTAAAAAAAAATAATAATAATTAAAAAATAAAACATAGAAACTAAGTTTCTAATCATTTTAACATGTTACATTTAGAAAGATCAACCAACAGAAGTTAAATGAATAAATTAACATCTTATTCTCCAACTCTAACTGGGCCTACTCTCTTTTATTTAATTCCTTTAACTTGGCTTTGTCTGGAAAGAAAAATATTAATGAATATCAACTCTAGGTGGTACTTGGGTCAAAACAGGTGAGGTTGCAGTGAGCTCCCCAGCTTCTCCTAGAAACCAAACAATGCACCAACCGTAACCAATCCTTAACTAATACTAAGTCAGCCAAATATAAACCGGTGACCTAAAAGGGAAAAGCTCCAATTATGTATTACAATTTCCTGAGTCATTTTGTCCTCACAACTTTATGCTTTAAATAAACCTCTGCTTTAAATGCTGGCTAAAGAAAATCTACGAGCAACTCAATATGACTTAGTGTTTCCAAGTCAGGAAAAGGAAGAACTTTCGGAGTTTGAGATAACGCTTGTTTTCTGTAGTTTGGAAAATAAACATTTCCTATGTAGTTATTCCTGGGGGACAGTGTGTGCGTGTGTGTGTGTGTGTGTGTGTGTGTGTGTGTGTGTGTGTGTGTGTAAGAGTGGAGCAGGGGAAAAGAAAGAAGGGAGAGAGAGAGAGATTTTTTAGCAGTAATTTGGTGTTCATGTAAACCGCTTATTTTGTGCTGGAGTTAGAATTTATCTCAGCAAGTTATGTGCATGTGAGCTGTGAAAGTATTGCAATTTAACATAAAAGCAACAGGAAACACTTACTTGATTGCATATCACATTTCTATGGATTCAATGATACATAATGATATAATCCATATAGTTACAAACAATAGTAGAAGTCTTGGGTCTCTAAATTAGATTAATTGATATTTCAGTATACATAAGCCATTTTCTACAATTAAATAATATTTTTCTTTATATCTTCGAATGAATAGTTTTATCCTGAGGTTCTGCTTATATAATCCTAAAGATACCTACTTTACTTAAATACATCTTATGTGATTTATTATTTTCTGTAGCTACTACAGAATGACTAAGAGAAATAACAGTTTTATACAGGGTGTCCCCAAAAAATGTATACACTTTAACAGCAGATCGCTCAATTTTGGAAATGAAACGTATTTTAATAAACACAGCTTTATAATTATTCAAAATGTGTGTATACCTATTTTGAGACACCCTATATTTGTCAAGTATGGATAGATACGTAACCTATCAAATGACATTTTAAGATATCAAGGCACTAGTAAGATCTTTTACTAAAATTGTCCACCTCCCCATGTGTTAGTTGGAAATGCATCATATATGCTTGTCTTCCATATCTGTATACAGGATTGTAAATTAATAGGACAAAATGCCATTTCCATGTCAGGTATATACCTATATCTACCAGTTCTGTAAATTCTGATTACACAACATTGAGTCAGGTATATTATTGTTCCCATTTGACAGATGAGAACACTCGGAGATGTTGAAAAATGTGTCCAGGAAGAAGTGCTCCAAAAATGCCCAAATACCTTGGATAGAAACCAGGTATTAATCGGATTCCACTAACCAACACATACACACACAATGTTTACTTT